ACACACACACACACGCCACACACACACACACACACCACACACACACAGCACACACACACACCACAACACACACACACACACACACACACACACACACATACACACCACACACACACACACACACACACACACAGCACACACACACGCACACAGAGAGAGACGAGAGAGACGAGACAGACGGAGAGAGAGATGACGACCGGAGGGAGAGAGAGAGAGGGAGAGGAGAGGAGAGAGCGATGCAGCCGACCGAAGAGAAACGCACACGCACAGCGTATGAATACGTAAATAAATACATGTAAATAGCTATATCATTAGATACATATATATAATACTATATATATATAGCCTGTGTTTCAAACTCCTTCGGTTACCCAGCTGAGGGACATTAGTAAAACGCTGCTATCGGACAACTAAACCTAGCAGTAACTGAATAAAGCGCCCACAGTTACATGACAGATTGTAGAACACACTTGCCGTGATGGACACCGCAGATGACATTCGTCGGTTGTGCGGACACCAGGTGTGTGCGGGAATGGACGATAATTACTTCATGGTGCACGATATGCCAACAGTTATTGGAGGTTTCGCTACAGGCTGCGATAAAATTAATGGATTTTATTGTGGCGAAAAGAGCCATCAGCCCGGCTAATCAATTGACTTCGTGTTCCGATTACTTATATATATATCTATATATATATATATATATATATGGCCCACAAGATGAGTGGTGCATTACGTCTATGCCATAAATACACTGTTTTAGTGTGCGTCCGTGCGCGCGCGTGCTGTATGTACGCTGCTGGACACTTTAACTGCGCCTATTTAATAAACTTGTCCTATACTATAGTAATACGTATTAGTGTGGCTACTGCCCCAAACAGCAGCAGCGACAGCACGCAGTCGAGCAACAGCAGCATCAACAACAGCCACGCCAGAGTAGTAGTTAGTAGCTCAGCATTATCATCATCATCAGCAGCGAGCAGCAGCAGCAGGCAGCGCAGCAGTAGCAGCGACGACACGGACGCGGCGATGGGCGCGGCCACCGCTCTGATGATGGCTGCCCAGGTGATTACAGCGCCGGTGCCAGTGCTCCGAACGCATTTACTAATCAAAGCGTACTAATGAAGCTGACAAATACATCCACACGCGAAGGGCGGCGCGATAATCACTGGGGAGCGTGGCGAGAGATGGGATTACGATGTTGTAGAAGAAATCATAGGGGTAAGTGTCGTAAGTCGTGGTCACAGATGTGCAGCGAGGGGGGTAGTGGGGGGAGAGACGCGGAGAGGGGCGGGATTGTCGAAGGGTGAAAGAAAATTATGGGAACGGGGTGGATCACAGGACACTTGGAAACGTCTCAATGAAATAAATAAAGGTAAATAAAGACGAAATGTATTTACTACCAACGTTCTTAATGTTTCTCTACTCTATTTCGCTATTATTTGCCGTAATTACCCGTAAATGCCGCCTCAAAATGCTCATCTGCAATACACAAGTACAGCGCACGCACGCCCTGATGCCACAAACACACAACGAAGAAAGAGCCCATATCATTTCGTGTTTATTTCCCTTCTTTTTTTTATGAGGACGTATCACGTGCCTGTGAGTGGAGGAGTGAGGGTAATTAAGTATGATCAGATGGCTCAACAGCTTTGCAAGCGTTGTGAAGCGTGATAGGACGAGTCTGGCGAAGCGTTCAAAGAATCCACGTCACAATGGAGGTGACAAGAAGCTCTGAGAATCGATGCTATAGTATAATATTCAGTACATATAACTATATATATATATATGACTATATATACTCATATTATATAATATAAATATATAGTTATGTATTGTATATATATCCTATCATCATATAGGAAGGTTACATAAAGTGGGTAATTCTGTGTGTTCTTCTGGTGCGTATCTTGTGATGTAGGAACGTGTATAGAATGCCAGGACTGGTGGTTCTCGAAGGTTGCTACAATGTCGGCCTTAAATCTATAGCTACCTTGGCAAAAACTCGCAGCTGTGGGATCTTCGCTTTCTGATTAAATCACTTTGGCGGTGAGAATAAATCAAACCGGTGTCGGAATCAGTGTCGTCACAAATTACTACGTCGGTATGTTCCAGGCACCTGCAACGAGAGGAGAGAGATCAGCAGTGCGCGCGTGCGAAGAAAGAGAGAGAGAGAGGCCGGAGAGAGAGAGTAAAGGGTCGAGAGCGCGCTTAAAGTCAGCGTACACTTACTTGTAGTCGAGAAAAGCGTAATAGCAGAGGCATATATATCATGGCAAACGGGAGCCAATTGGGGAGTGCTAAGACAGCGCACTTAGCTACAGGGTACAAGTGAGACGGGAAACTAGCGGATGTGATGGATAGAGCGGAAAGGAATAAGAAGAAAGAGAGCGAGAGAGACTTAGGACTGAGAATGAGAGCAGCGGAGATAAAGACAGAGGAGCAGACGAGAGATGATGAGCAGACGACCAGATGAGAGAGAGAACGTGTAATATCATATCATATATATATCTATATCTATATAGGATATATATAAATATATATCATATGCGTGTGCGCGTGCATCGCAGCGCGCTGCCGTGCGTGTCTTGTGTGTGTGTGCGGCGCGTAGCGTACGGTGCGCGCAATGCGCGCGCCGTTGTGTTTTTATGTGTGAGGGCGATTCTGTAGAGAGACGAGCGAGCGGAGAGCAGAGAGAGAGAGAGAGAGACGAAGAGAGAAGAAGAGAGCCGATAGAGCGACATTACAGAGCCGATAAGACAGAATAAGAGTATAGCAAGATAAGAGGAAAGAGAATGAAACGAGCGGACAGCAAAAGGCGGCGGTATAACATGATTCAGAGCTGCTGCAGTACGCATCAGCGATCCAGCGTATAATCATCACTAGGCACTGACGTAGCATCAATGTGTTCCTGAAGAGCAGATACCGCGAGTGTTAACATATCCAGGCGTCGTTCTGCCACGAGAACGAATTTAATGACAATTTCCAAGTAAACGTATGGACTGGGCATCTGTGCGATATAATTCTCCTTACTGCCTGCTTGTTTTCTGTCTGATAGTTAGTATCTGGTTACTATTATTTGTGCCTCGTATTTGCTGTGACTACTTGGTACTATTATTTGCCGCCTGTATTTGTTGTCTGTATAAAAAACTTGTTATTGTTGCTGTATCGATATTTGCTTGTAGCTACTTCATGCCTTTATTTGCTGCCTGTATTGTGTTTGTCTGTACTTGATGCTAATTATTTGTGCTGTATTGCTGTACTACATTGATAGCTATTATTTGTGCTGTATTTGCCCTGCTTAGTACTTGAGCCTATTATTTGCTTGCCTGTATTTGTTGTCCTGTACTTGCATGCCTAATACTGTGCCTGTATTATGCTGCTATACATTAGTGCTATGTATTGGCGCTGTATTTGTTGTAGTACTTGATTGCTATTATTTGTGCTGGTGATTCCTGTAGACGCTTAGATGCTAATATTTGTGCTGTGTTGTTGTTTGTACTGTCGGTCTCATTCATTTGTGCTGAATATTTGTTTGTCTTGCTACTGCATGCCTATTATTTGTGCATGTATTTCTTGCTAGTACTTAATGCTTATTATTTGCCCGTTCTTCGTGCTGTATTTGCTGTTATATAATGCTGCTTGTACTTACCACAGTAATAAACAGCGCCTCATGCTGTGAGAGTGCCCCGCATTGCTTCCGTTCTTCAGGCGCCTGCTGCGCGGTTCATCTGCATGTCGTTCGCGTTTTCCTCGGCCAGTCAATCTGTAACGGTCCGGAACGCACGAAATGACCGCTCGCCAGGCAGCCGAGAAATACAAGAAAATAACACCGAAACGTAAAGGAATATATTATAAACGGAAAACTTAACTTTCATTATAAAAGTATAAAATATGTTAATATATAAATATTTTTGTAATAATATTATAAATATAAAAAACAGAATATATAACTATAATAAAAAATAAATAAATAAATCATAAATAAATACATATAAATATAATAATGTAAAACGTTAAAATATTGCTAATCATTATTGCTTTAA